TATATACAGTACAGCCCCTCCTCCTGATGTCCCGCCTTCCACTCCCCATAGGATGGAACTTTCCCTCCAAACCCATGACAGACAGGTAACATCAGTGCTGTATGTAACACTAACAACAGGAAAACAAGTTAAGCACAGAAACTGACCTTTCTAAACAACTGAACTCAAACATAACATTGTATGTTGAATTGAATATAAATCATTACATGCCATTATTTACTAACGGGTGATTAATACTTTCACCACCACTACTGCATCAGATAGTTTTTTTTAAATCTGCTGTTAACCTTACTGTATCTGACAAAAAGAAGCACAGATATATTTGCCCTACATACAGATGTCAGCAATTACCAGGATGAGTCCATAATATAGCTATTGGCATTGCAGAAAAGATTGATCTAAATATGGTAAATTCATTCTTTTTGGTGGACCAATGGGATCACTGCTATACTTACATTAACAAGACCTTTCAAAGTTATCTTCTGTATTTTTGAGTGAAGAGAAATTCCACGAAGCTCCAATAGCAAAGAACCTCAAATATGTCTGTCATTTTTTAACTCACTAAAAATCATGGCTGTCATGTTACCAAACTCTTTTTATTATAAATTTTACATGTATTTTTCTTGTTTATGTAACATATTTGTATTGCATTTTTCCTGATGTTCTGAATCCCAACAAAAAAATCAAGCCAAGTTGTATATAGATAGCTACGTCACTCAAATACTACCCAAAGGTGTGGAGTGGATGAAACATTGTGAACAGTGTGTAGAACTATGTTCTAAATAAAATACAGTTAGCTGAGGCTTTCTTTCTCCCCTTAACACTGAAAGACTACAAATATTTTTTAAAAGCAGTGTTGCTACTACCCAAAGGTCTCTTGTGGATGAAACATTGTGAACAGTGTGTAGAACTATGTTCTAAATAAAATACAGTTAGCTGAGGCTTTCTTTCTCCCCTTAACACTGAAAGACTACAAATATTTTTTAAAAGAAATGCAGTGTTGCAATTGGAAAAATAATAAACAACTGATATTGGAAGAATGGTATAACAAGATGTGGAAACTAGCTATTAATGATAAATTAACTTGTGACTTGACAGTTAGAAAAGAATTATTGAAGGAAAATAGTTTCAGTGGTTAAACCACTGTACTGCAGCCAAAACTGTGCTCATGACCCGGGGGTCAATCCCAGGTAGCAGCTCAAGGTTGACTCAGCCTTCTATCCTTCCGAGGTCGGTAAAATGAGTACCCAACTTGCTGGGGGGGCAATGTGTAGCCTGCATAATTAACTTGTAAACCGCCCAGAGAGTGCTTGAAGCACTATGAGGCAGTATATAAGCAGCACGCTTTGCTTTGCTTTAATGGTATTTGGAAACATTATATTGAATATGTTGGGTGCATTCACAGAGGCCACGCTGAAGAACAAAGGTTATACCCCAACACATTATTTTTGGAAAGAATTAATTTTTTAATGCAACGTTGAGTTACCCTCCCCCCCCCCCGGAAATAAGATCTAACCAGAAAATAAGCCATAGTAGGTTTTTTTAGGATGTTCATAATATAAGCCCTAACCCAAAAATAAGCCCCTGTTAAGTGAAACCCTGCCCTCCACCATTGTGCAGCAACCAGAAGATGACATGACTGTATTTGAATAAATGTAGATTGTTCTACATGAAAAAAATATAAACATCCCCTGAAAATAAGCCCTAATACGTTTTTTGGAGCAAAAATACAAGACCCTGTCTTATTTTCGGGGAAACACGGTATTTCCTGTAGATTAATAAAATGCTTGATCCCATAATGGATCCAAAACCTAGTATGAACATTTACTGTATTCTAATAACACAAAAAACAGGCAATACCTTTCTGTGTTCTTCATATTCCAGTTTGCTTAGAAGTAAAGCTTTTTCAAGGTCTGCTTCAAACATTTCAGAAGTCAACTGAAGAAACAAGATGGAAAAGTTGACTTTATGATGGCTTTTATTTAAACATACAGTATATAAAGAGGTTACTTACCTGTAACTCTGGTTCTTTGAGTGGTCATCTGTAAATTCACACTAATGGGTTAATCTGCACCTGCGCAGAGCAGCCTCGGAACTTTCCAGAGCTTGAGCACATGGTGCTGGGACCTCCCACACGCTGCCCCTAACCCTACCCCCAACACCGAGTGCCTCAGTTCTGTACAACCATCCACCGCTGCACAGCACACAAAAGGCTCACATGACAGACAGCAGAGAGTGTGAATTCACGGATGACCACTCAAAGAACCACAGTTACAGATAAATAAACTCTTTTTCTTCTTCGTGGTCTCTGTGAAGGCACACTAATGGGTGGCTGGCAAGCTGACTTACTTGGAGGAAGGACATCACGAGAGCACAGAAGCCAGGACAGCACGACCCGTGCAGCCTCAGTCTTGGCACAGACATCAAGCCGGTAGTGGGACACGAAAGTTGACGTCGTGACCCAGGTGTCAGCTCTACAGATATCAGCGAGGTCCACCCCTCTGAGGAATGCCGTTGACAGTGGGCTTTAACTGTGTCTGGTAGTGGTACCTTAGCCAGCTTGTATGCGAGGCGTATGGTGGAAATGATCTGGAAGCGTACCAGTGTACCCTTAGAAGTGCCTTGGAAGGCTACAAAGAGCCTCTTTGAGGTGTGGAAAGGTGAGGTGCGAGAAACATAAAAGGAGAGAGCCCGTTTAAAGTCCAGGGAATGCAAAGCTCATTCTAGAGGTGAGGTAGGTGCTGGAAAAAAGTGGGCAGCACAATGGGCTGGTTCAAATGAAAATAAGACCTAAGGAAGGAAGGAGAGGTCTGGGTAGAGAGTCAGTTTGTCGGGATGGAATCGGAGGAGGGTCCACTCTCCTGTCGTGCCATAGTGACAGCGAGAAAGGCAGTCCTATTTATTTATTTATTTATTTGTTTGTTTGTTTGTTTGTTTGTTTACAATATTTTTTAGCCGCACCATTGCCAGTGGCTTCTTCAGTCAGAAGACAGTACGACACTGTGGCCAAGGGCTCAAGTGGAAGCTTCATGAGCTGATTCAAGACAAGCTGGAGTGACCACTGCGGAGTAAGAGGTCTACAGGCTGGGTGCATATTCTTCAGGCCCTGCAAAAACTGCTCCGAAGGCAAAAAGGCAGAAAGGGTGGGAAATTGGGATTTCCAGCCCTTTCCCCCTGCCTTTTTGCCTTTTGAAACGCTGGAACGGATTAATTCCATTCCCATGCATTTCAATGGGAAATGGTACTTCAGCTTATGAACTTTTCAACGTACGAACGTCGTTCTAAAACGGATTGAGTCCGTAAGTCGAGATACCACTGTATAGTCCTCCGACAGAGAGGGAGAATGATTCTCTGCGAGATCAGAACTAGTTGTGGGAACATTGGAAGGTGAGTCTTCCTCCCCACCTGAGGCCAGTAAATCAGAGTCTATCAGTTCATGATCAATAGATGAGGAATAATCTCCACGACTGGTCAGCGCATGGTAGGTTATGGTATCGACTCAGGCTACCTGTCTACCAACATCTCCTCTAGAAGGGAGCTGGAGACTGAAGCCGCTCCAGAGCTGCTTGCGTATCTTCAGGGTCCAATATCAGATGATAAGGTTGCTTAACATCGACAGCAGGCGCATAATCCAGAGGCAGATGCCTCTTATGGGGCCGCAGCAGCAGCAGAGGATAGAAATCGCTCTTGGTACCTGCAGAGCGATCCTCAAAATGCCAGTATCGAGGAGGAGAAGGAGAGGGAGAATAGGGATGGTAGTAATTACAACGATAGTACGAGTCGACCCTGTAGGCTCTTGGATAGGAACGCTGGCCGGGCTCAAAGTCGTCAGGATCACTGTACACTGGATGGTTATAGTAACGCCACCTGCTATAGCACACATAGTCATGACCAGGTACTGATCGATGCCGAGGGAGCTCAGGCTTGCATGGTGGCTCAAGGTGCTGAGATTTGTGTATTCTCTTCCTAGGCACCTCCATCAGCACTGATGGTAGGATGGAGACTTGTCAACCATTGAGCCTGTAGGAGTTCGTGGGCTAGCCTGCGACAATTGTACTACTTCCGCAGTCGTGTTGCCCCAGTCAGGAGAGCAGCTGACACAAGGGGATGGCAAGGCGGACCATCTTCATCCCCTGATAGTAAACTAAGGCATACCAATTGTTGCTGGAATGTATCCAGTATCAAAGCCGATTTATCTGCCAAGCGATCCGGTTTTGGAGCATTCTTCTTCTTTGGGGCTGACATCAAGGGAGGCTTCGGTATTGATGCCGGAGCCATCAACCTCGAGCCTGAGGAAGACACCTGGGGCTTGGGTGCCATTTTAGAACCCTTCTGGGCTTAAGAAGGTGGTGGTGAGCCTGAGACCAAGGGCTGCCACTCCACTTGCGATGGATCCATGGGAGTCTCTAGGGTTGGAGACAGAGACTTTCCCCAGAGAAATGAACGGAGGCGTTGAAGCCTCAACTTCAAAGCCAGTTTAGTGAAGTTTTTACAGACCCCACACAGGGCTGGCTTGTGCTCCTCCCCAAGACAAAACAAACAACCAGACTGTCCGTCGGAGAGGGCAATCTTGTTGGGGCAGCAATCTCACCTCTTAAAGAGGCCCGGAGCAGCCTTAAACAATGTTACGGCTCCCTCAACATAACTAACAGTCCGGTTTTATTCTTTTAGTCAGACTCACAGTGAAGAAGAATTGTTGAATGATCCAAAACGAAGTCCAGGGAGGTCCAAAGAGAAGGTAAAGAAGATAAGTAATAACACACAGAAGTTCCTAATGAGGTGCTGCTGCAACACAGCAAGAAAGGAACTGAGGCACTTGGTGCCAGGGCAGGGTTAAGGGCAGCGTGTGGGAGGTCTCGGCACCATATGCTCAAGCTCTGGAAAGTTCCGAGGCTGCTCTGTGCAGGTGCAGATTAACCCATTAGTGTGCATTCACAGAGACCACGAAGAAGAACCTTAGTACAGTGGTGCCTCAACTTACGAACTTAATCCGTTCCAAAAGATAGTCGTAAGTCGAAACACCATTTTCCATAGGAATGCATTGGAATGCAATTAATCTGTTCCAGATGGGGAAAAATCACCAAACAACAACAACAAAACCAACAACACAGCAAGCCCCATCAGAACGTGCTGGGGCTGGAAAAAAAATCACCAAAACAAACAACAACAATACAGCAAGCCCCATTGGAACGTGCTGGGGCTGAAATAAATCACACAAAAAAACCCCACAACAACACAGCAATTTAGAAATTTAGATTCTTACAATACTCTGAAAAGAGCTGATTGGAAAAAAGTGGCCTCCTGTGAGATGACTCTACAGAGCAGTCATTTTGGCCATGTCTGATACTTCTGGTATATAAAGCTTTTCTTGCCATTACTGGCACACAAAAATCAACAGTCATATTTTGTGAAGAATAACACCAGCAAAAATTCTACCTCATAAGTGTCTTACCAAATATCCACTTACCTAGCAATAAGCCCCAATAAACTCAATGTGTCTTCCATCTGAACAGATATGCCTGAAACTGCACTAAGTTAATACTGCTGTGTATTTTATAAAATGTACAGTGGTGCCTCGCTTGACGATGTTAATTCATTCCAGCAAAATCGCTGTAGAGTGAAAACGTCATCAAACGAAATTTAAAAACCCACTGAAACGCATTGAAAACTGTTCAATGCGTTCCAATGGGCTGAATACCTGCTCGTCCAGCGAAGATCCTCCATACAGCGGCCATTTTCGGTGCCTGTATAGCGAGGAATCCATCCTAGAAAACAGCAGGGGCCCATTTTGAAAGCCAGTGGCCATTTTGAAACCTGACAATCAGCTGCTTGCTGATCATCGGAAAGCGAAAAATCGGTTCCCAAAACAGGGAACCCATCAACGTGAAACAAAAAAAACCCAATCTAAACATCGTTTTGCGATGAAAACTTCAACGTTAAGCAGATTCGTCGTTAAACGGGATAATCGTCCAGCAGGGCACGACAGTATAGCACAAGTACAACTGTAACAAACAATAATAAAGCACATTTCTCATAAAATCTGAACTTATAAATACTGGATGAATTACTTGCTCATCTCTTTGCCTCCACTCTTGCCAGTTCTCTTCCTGAAAGTCTTTACGTGCAGAATTGTTTAATACTTGGTCATGCTGAGACAAACAGGTTCCATGGGAAGTTTTCTGAGGAATCTTTTTAAAAGCGAGATTTCTGAGCTATGAAGAAAACAGTTAACAATAATGAATTATTTTCATTCTGTGACACACTAAATGATATACAATTTGACATGCGAAAACTACAGTATAAATTCTGTTTGACGTGACATATTATTTTGATAACTTTTGTTAAGAAAAATCGCACATTTTTATGGACATATATTATGGAATATTTCAAGGTCATTGAATACTTGCACGACTTCTGTCAAACCATAAATAGTAACATGGGAAAATCAGTCCGAGACCAATTATACAATGTCATTTTGAGTTTTCAACTCATAATTTTGGCACTGGTATTGTCAAATTTATCCTTCTCTTTCTCATTCCATTCCCCCCCTTATATGTCTTTTTAATTACCAAGCCAGAGCTGTGTCTCATTTTCACTATCATGCCTACTATTAGCACTGCTGAATTTCTGTGGCATTTCAAGCAGTCTTGAGACAAGATTTAAAACCCTTAAAAATCTAATTGCCCTTCTGAAACTTCATGGAACAAAACCCTTGTTTGTTTATAATAGTTTTACCTTGCCTTTCTCCTTTAAAAAGGGCCTAAGATAGCAGATATTATTAAAATACAATATTTAAAACTAAAAACAGTGAGTATCCAAATAACTAAAACGGATCAAACAAATACCTGATCTTAATTATCAGGTAGGCTCATAAACGGAAGTATGGTCTTTTAGATACCTTGGGCCTAGGGCTTTATAAGTTAGAACCAGTACTTTGAATTATGCCTAGAAATGGATAAAAATCAGAAGCCAGATTGCTATCTCATGTGCACTTTAGAGAACATATATCAGTGGTTTTTAACAATCTGAAAGGGTTTACTAAAACGAAAATGGGTTTGGGCCAGAATAACTAAAATGTATTCCTCCTATGTGAGCCAGCTGGAAATGTGACATATTTAACAAAGATCTTATTTCATGTCCCACACAATTCAAGAGGCTACACAAATGAATACACAAAGCCTAAGCAATTTCAGAATAGCTCCACTTTTAATCACGAACAGGCAGCAGCCAACACTGCATTGTTTCATATGTCATTTTGTCTTTGAAATCTGTTTTTAAAAATTATTTTAAACCTGCTTTTAAAGAATGTTCTATTTTTCTGTACATTGCTTTGAGAATCCTAGTGGATATAAAAGTACTGTAATAAGCACTTTGAAACTGACTGGATAACTAAGTGGTTTAGGTAACTGGCTACAGAGCTGGAGATTGGCAGTTTAATTTCCCACTGTCCTTCTTGTGAGGCCGTGGACAAACTACCCAGTCTCAGAGCTGCACCCAGAAGAAGGGAATGGTAAACCACTTCTGTGTTTTCTCCATCTAGAAAACCCAAGAAAGGCCCACCATAAGTCAGAAATGACTTGACAGCACATGATTATTAATATTTTGAATAGGTAATATTGCTTCTGCTATTTCAAGAAATATAGAACAAGCAATACTGTGATGAGTAACAATTGATAGTCCTATCCTCCATGCATTTATGTAATCCTCTTTCAAAGTCATCTGATTTGGCACTCATTGCTACATTCCTGAATTCCATGGTTTAGCTATCTGATGTGTGAATTCCTATCAATTATCAAGTATAGTTGTTTAGCTCATCTCCGACTACTGCCTTCACTTTTAAATATTTATCTGGCACCTAAACATTACCAACCCCCTCACCTCATTTGCTTCACTCTGCTGCTGTTCCTTCTTTTTTCTTCTCTTTTCTTTTTTCTTCTCATTTGTGCTTGACTTGCTACCTGATGTTTGAGACTTTCTACCACTCCGACCACTTCTTCCCTTTCCAGATTCTGAATCAGAACCACTACCGCTATCCACTTGTAGAAGAGCAAACCTCGATGCTGTAGTAGGTACCGAACTAATCACTGCGGAAGCCATTTCACCATTGGAGATGTCTGAATGCAGACCTTTGAGATTCAAGGTGTCTTCTGGAAAAACAAGAGCAACATAAAAGGAATGGGGGAGGGTTGCTTTGCTACATACATAGAATCTTTTATAGATTGCTCAGAAGACCTCACAAATGAAAGTACCACATTTTAAATCTGCCTTGACTACACGGCATCAGCTTGCACAAATATTCACTGGGCAACTATATAGCTAAGAAATAACACAGTCTAGAAAATTCTAATTTTATTAAACAGTGAAGAAACTGTGGATGTTCCAAAAAACAACAGGCATAGAAGTACTGTCTCTTTCGAAATAACCCTGGCAAAGGGCTAGTAAGAATTCCTATAAGACAGAAATATTTATGTAATGGGGTAACGGATCCCAAAAGTAATTCTTTAATAACTATTTTTATTTTGGATAATGCTTTATTTAAGAACAACTGAGCTATAACCAACAAAAGCTCGAGCCAGGTATAATTTGTTAGCTTTGCATGTGTTCCAAGTTTGTCATATTTGCTATTTACTATTTTTTAAAAATCAAATGTCTTATGGTAACCTCTATTTCAGACATTATACATTACTGAAACAGTGACGTCTACGTTGGCCTGGGCATGTTGTGAGAATGGGTGATGGCCGGATTTCAAAAGATCTCCTGTATGGAGAATTAGTGCAGGGAAAGCGCCCCAGAGGGAGACCACAGCTGCGATATAAGGATATCTGCAAGTGGGATCTGAAGTCCTTAGGGATGGACCTCAACTGATGGGAAACCTAGACATCTGTGCGTTCAGCCTGGAGGCAGGCGGTGCAGCATGGCCTCTCCCAATTTGAAGAGGCACTTGTTCAGCAGGCCGAGGCAAAGAGGCAGTCCTGAAACCAGCAAAATCAGGGAGCTGGACAGGGGACAGGTTATATTTGTCTTCAGTGTAGAAGGGATTGTCACTCTCGAACTGGCCTTCTCAGCCACACTAGACGCTGTTCTGAGTCCTCTATTCAGAGCAAGTTACCATAGTCTCTCAAGACTGAAGGATGCCTAATCAAATCCAAATTTCAGACAGAAACAAGTTATATCAATTAAAAATGATGCAAATGAAGTTTTAAAAATAAAGGATTAGTAAGACAATTGTTTTCTTTTTCTGAACTTGATCTTTTTTTCTGTAAGTCACAAACAGAAATAACTATTGAGAGAGTACATGTTTTATTATTAGGACAGCTTTGAAAAGAAAGTTCACTGGTCTTGTGCAAACATAGAAATGCAGTTCCAAGAGTATGAATAACAAGGATTTAATAAGTAAGAATCAAGAGGTTTTCAAAATTACATTTAAAAATCCACAACATCCTGAGAATGCATTTTTAAAAAAGGAAACATTTATCAATTATTTAATGAAAGTACAGAGAGGATCAAAGGGGAACGCTTATAATGGATTTTGATGCACGACTAAGAGTGGTGGCAACTCCAAGGTTGAATGGGAGAATTTGTAGAACTCCATCAGCACAAGATGCCTTCTCTGTTTTCTGCAAAATCCAGTGACAGGTATTAAAGTATCTTGCACATGGTGCCAGTAATTGGGATGTCACAAATCAATCAGCTATACCCTACACCACAGGCCAAAAGTGCCTCATCCTTTCAGATGCAAGAAGATCCAAATGCTATCATCTAACAGGTTGCTAGGGTCTAAAATCCAAACCACACCTACATGTGTGTTTCTTGCATTAATTGTTAGTTCAGGGATGAGCACAGAGTGGTCCTCCAGATGTTGCTAAGAGAGTAATTCCTGTTAGCAGAAGCAAATATACACAGTGGGGAAAGGCAATGGAGACGAACTATTTCTCCAGGCCAGAACCACCCACTCTATGCTAGCACAGAGGACTGAAAGGTCTTCCCTTTTTGGAGGGAAGACCTGCATTTAAATTGTTTAAATTGTATTTAAATTTAAATTGTATTTAAACTGTATTTAAATTAAATACAATTAAAATGTATTTTAATTGTTTTTGAAAAATACTATGATGTATTTATAATATCTAATAATACCTAAAACTTATTCTCATGAGAATCACTTCACTGGGTTAAACATCTCCAGAACAGCAAACATTAAAATGACTATTAGGTTCATTTTATTTTGTTACATTAATTTTGAATCAAACAGTAACATAAAGCCACCAAACATTTCCAAGAGTATTTACAGTTCCCATATATAAGATTTTAACAGCCCATGTGGATTGAAGGAATAAGTTTCTTTGAATTGTGACAGGAATATACAGTATTCTACTACTCAAATAATATAATCTTAGAACTGCAGAGCTGGAAGGAACCTTTCGGATTATCAAATCAAGCCCCTGTCAAGGAGGCATAAGCCACTGAACACCAAGAGCCTTTTTATATCTATCTAAGAAAAATAAACATTTTTCTTAGAAACTGATAGAACAAAACATCTAATCCACCTGTTATTTTAACAAAACCATCTGTGTATTCACCAATACCAGTAACTTTGCAGATCTGTGAAAATCATCCAAACAAATGAAGTATTTGACATTCTGATGAAACTAAAGGATTGTCCCGCTGTCCCTTTGCCATATACTGTATGAATCTTAAATCTCGTTTAAGATTGGACGTAGTAGAATACGGAGCGAGTTTTAAAAGTTTGAGAACAACAATACTGATGAAAATTAATATGACCCTCAAGTTTACTCACTACACTTGGAGCAAAGTGACGAATGAGGGGGCCTTTATTCTTCTTTCAACTAGTAAGACTTGCCGGGCACCCGCAGCGTAGATCCCCTACCCCCGGGGGGATTTTGGGATGGGGAGGGGCTATAATTGTAAAAAAAAGCAAAGCAAAAGTCCCTCCGCCTACCATGGGGTGGGGGAGAAAGAGGAGTCGTCGTTACATTTATTCCTGCCCCAAAGCTCCCTTGCTGATTCCTACCCTTGCCCGCGAAAGGCGCCACACCTGCACGCCAGGCAGGACTAGCGGAGGACCTAACGGAGCCGCCCGGCCTCGACTCAGGATCGCAACGAGGCCGAACCTGCGCGCCGCTGCGCGGGTGGGGACCCCTTTGACCCTTTCCCTGCCGCCCGCCCGACTACGCGCGGAAGCTGCGCCAACTCCACCTTTCGGCGGCCGCCGAGTTGGGCTGAGGGACAAGAGGACATTTCACTCCTTCCTCTTCATTTCGCGGG